AGAGCAAGGATGGGGTCAGCTAACTGTCTCCTATCACTCTGACCTAGATTGGGTCCAAGTTTGATCACAAACCTGGGCCAACATCTCAAGGAGAGGAAATACCATGCTAAGAGAGGAAGGCCCTTGTTGTCGGTTTGAGTGTCCCACCACCTCCGCCTTTCTTAAAGAAACAGAATGTTTCCCCACTTTCATGGGTTCTCTTGCAAGCTAAGTAGGCAAGGTTTGGACCAGCCCTGACAAGCAGTGCGCCATGATCAACATGAAGTTGGATTGGCACTCTGACTTTGGCCAGTGGCAGAAGAGCACCCTTTGATTATTATCGAAGTCATCTGGTCTCGTGACTTTAAGAAAACCTTGAGGAAAATTGACTATTCAAAACTTTATCAGGTGGTCAACCAATTCTATTAGATGGCCTGGGTGGCTTCAAACTATTAGTCGATTTCCCTTGACCAAGCAGACGGGAAACAAATTGCCTCTGAAGAGAAGGCAAAATCCTTTGTTGCTCTGGCAAAGGTCGATAGAAAGCAAGCAGCAGTACCTGAGAAGTGATTAGAGGTGGTTGAGGCTGAGTTCCTAGATCAATTAGAAATGTTATCAGTTTTCAACAAGAAAATAAAATCCTGAAGGACATGATGACAACAGTGAAGATTGAAATGGGTTTGTAGACAAGCTTGCTTGCCACCTTCAAATTGGCACTTCCAAGTGATCATCTAGTTTGTGATGAAGAATCTCATTGACTCGAAGTGATATGACTTGAAGGAAGTTACAATGATCCTTTTTGACCTAAAAGAAGAAGACAGGAGGATGCTAGGGAAGAAAGCGAAGAAGAAGAGGATGTTGAGGAAGAAGGCGAAGATGAAGAATTTGCCGAGGAAATTATTAGCTAAGTCACATTTTCAATATTTTGTATCCTTTTTCACCTGAGTGTTGTTTTAACCTGGGATTACACACATGGTTAGCTGAATTACATTTTCAATATTTTGTGAAAAATACATCTTTTTTGAACGCAAATGTCATTATTATTGTTTACTCTTGATGATACAAAAAAATTTATAGAAAATTTTCTTGAGGCTGTCTTAGCTCTATATTTGAGGGACCCCTTTCCCCATGTAGTTATTCAATTTTTATTCTCTGAGGGCTACTCTTTGGTTGATGATGAACATGTCATTCCAAGCCATATCTATCTTATTGATCATCTGTCCACACATAGTTGGGTTTTCTTTCTTCATCACAAGGTCCACATGGGCGAAGGTTATCTCACGAACATGTTCCTTGTAGTAGCGATCAAGCCATTATTCTTTTCACTTCTTTTTGCCAGAGAGCTAAATTGACCTACTTTTCTTCTGTAAGTATGAGTGGGAGCATTACACCTTCATCTTTTGCTTCTCACAACTTAGTCGAATTTCCTTCATTAAACTCTGAGATTGTCATAACCCTTTAGTTGTGATAATTATATTTGTTCTGTAGAATCTCTTTCATTATGTGTGACGGCTTGAACAAAGTCAACCTAGTTGTTGTTGATAGTGTCATCCAGACCGACCATTGGACTGATGCAAGGATATCGACCCAGTTTCCTTTTGCCCCTTGGAATTTATTCCTTAACAAGTTCAAAATTATTTTATTGGTGACTTCGACTTGAGTATTAGTCTAAGGATGTGTATTGATGTGAACTTCAATTTGATCCCCTGAATCTGGCTGAAATCTCATTCTCCTTAATCAATGAATTGCATCATATTGTCAGAGACAATTACGAACAACAAACCATAACAACTAATAAGATTTGTCAAGATAAAGTTTCAGACGACTTCCATGATGATCCTAGTGAGTGTTTGGCTTCAATTTATTTGGAGAAATAGTCCACTGCTACTAGCAAGTATTTGCATTGGCCTTTAGACAAAGAAAAGAGACCAAGGATATCGAGTCCCCATACGACGAAAAACGTCAGGTTGAAGATAAGTTATAGCTTGTGTCAGCTCGTGCTGCAGTGACATGCATTGCTTACATCTCCCTAAAATTTATTCGGCATCTTTCATAAATGTCGACCAGATGTATCTTTATTGTTGTATTCTATGCGCTAGAGTTTTTCCTCTAGAATGACTTCCACAGGGATAATTTATGATGAAATTTAAAACATTTAAGTCTCATAGAATAAATACCCAACAAATTATTCATATAGTTCCCTCGTAATAATTTTAATTGGGCACACAAATATATACTATATTAAATTAAGATGAACTTGTCCAAAACAACATCTCCCTCTTTAACTAAAAGCTTAATATTTGGGTGGCATATTAGTATTAAACATACCAACATTATTTTTTGTGGCTTTTAGGTATCCTCATCAAATATGTAAAATAAAGAAACCTGAACAAAGTTCTATGGCCTGATCTTAAACACTCAACATGTTCCTTGTAGTAGCGATCAAGCCATTATTCTTTTCACTTCTTTTTGCCAGAGAGCTAAATTGACCTACTTTTCTTCTGTAAGTATGAGTGGGAGCATTACACCTTCATCTTTTGCTTCTCACAACTTAGTCGAATTTCCTTCATTAAACTCTGAGATTGTCATAACCCTTTAGTTGTGATAATTATATTTGTTCTGTAGAATCTCTTTCATTATGTGTGACGGCTTGAACAAAGTCAACCTAGTTGTTGTTGATAGTGTCATCCAGACCGACCATTGGACTGATGCAAGGATATCGACCCAGTTTCCTTTTGCCCCTTGGAATTTATTCCTTAACAAGTTCAAAATTATTTTATTGGTGACTTCGACTTGAGTATTAGTCTAAGGATGTGTATTGATGTGAACTTCAATTTGATCCCCTGAATCTGGCTGAAATCTCATTCTCCTTAATCAATGAATTGCATCATATTGTCAGAGACAATTACGAACAACAAACCATAACAACTAATAAGATTTGTCAAGATAAAGTTTCAGACGACTTCCATGATGATCCTAGTGAGTGTTTGGCTTCAATTTATTTGGAGAAATAGTCCACTGCTACTAGCAAGTATTTGCATTGGCCTTTAGACAAAGAAAAGAGACCAAGGATATCGAGTCCCCATACGACGAAAAACGTCAGGTTGAAGATAAGTTATAGCTTGTGTCAGCTCGTGCTGCAGTGACATGCATTGCTTACATCTCCCTAAAATTTATTCGGCATCTTTCATAAATGTCGACCAGATGTATCTTTATTGTTGTATTCTATGCGCTAGAGTTTTTCCTCTAGAATGACTTCCACAGGGATAATTTATGATGAAATTTAAAACATTTAAGTCTCATAGAATAAATACCCAACAAATTATTCATATAGTTCCCTCGTAATAATTTTAATTGGGCACACAAATATATACTATATTAAATTAAGATGAACTTGTCCAAAACAACATCTCCCTCTTTAACTAAAAGCTTAATATTTGGGTGGCATATTAGTATTAAACATACCAACATTATTTTTTGTGGCTTTTAGGTATCCTCATCAAATATGTAAAATAAAGAAACCTGAACAAAGTTCTATGGCCTGATCTTAAACACTCCATTTCCTATAGGAAGTGATGCCACAATGCATTGTACATTAAACATAAGACATAATTGTGTAAAAGAGCTTCAATTTTTTTGGAGAAATAGTCCACCACTACTAGCAATAATTTGCATTGGTCTTTAGACAAAGAAAAAGGACCAAGGATATCGAGTCCCCAGATGATGAAAGGCGCCAGCTTGACGATCAGTATAGCTTATGTGTCTTCTCATACTATAGTGACGTGAATTGCTTACATCTCTCATAAATTTATTCAGCCTCTTTCATAAATGTCGACCAGATGCAGCTTTATTGTTGTACTCTATGCTCCAGAGATCTTCCTTTATAATGGCTTCCACACTTCTAATAGTGTATTTCTCATAGGCCCTCTTCCACCTCATTTTCCTTTAGGCATCTTAAGTATAGCAAAGTAACCAACTTTTGAAAAAGCTTCCCTTCAATCAGGGGATAATTTATGATGTAAAATTTAAAACAAATAAGTTTTATAGAATAAATACCCAACAAATTATTCATATAGTTCCCTCACAATAATTTTAATTGGGCACACAAATATATACTATATTAAATTAAAATGAACTTGTCCAAAACAACATCTCCCTCTTGTAACTAAAAGCTTAATATTTGGGCGGCATGTTAGTATTAAACATACCAACATTATTTTTTGTGGCTTCTAAGTATCCTAATCAAGTATGTCAAATGAGGAAACCACAACAAAGTTCTATGGCCTGATCTTAAACACTTCATTTCCTATAGGAAGTGATGCCACAATGCATTGTACATTAAACATAAGACATATTGTGTAAAAAAATCAGAATTTACATTTGCCATCTATAATAACAAAAAATAAAAAAAAATCTGATATTCTATTTCTTATCCTTAGAATTTTTATTTTATAACAAATAATTTATCATTATCCATCTCCTAATTGCTCGTTCTATTATTATAACACCGTCTTGAACGCAATTAATTAATCAAACTCAGGCTCAAATCGAAATTGGCTCCAACTATTAACCAAATTCGAGAGACATCTTAGCCAAAATTAAAAATGGTAACAAGTAAAAACTAAGAGTTTTGTTTCTCCAACTAGTCCTCAAGGACCTAATTAGTGTCACCCCATTCTCCACTTATGAAGGGACTGTATTTATTAACTAAAACAACCAAAAACCGGCACAACAAAAGTCAAAGTAGAATCAACTATGGAAGTTGACAACAGTAATGATAAAAAGATAAATATGGATGGATAATTATATACTTGCGCCATGTGTTGAAACAAATTATGGATCCCACTGGTTTAACGCCTGCAAGTTCCTTATCTGGAGTTTTGTCTCCTTTCCTAAATGTGCATCACGCATTCAACTCTCCTAAAGACTTTCACATAGTTTTTGGAACTATTCCTCCATCTCGCTCTATATAATGAGGCAGCCTTTAAACCGTATTTGTATCGTAGAAATTAAGAAAAAAAATGGCAAACAATAGCTTCATCTCTGTTGTCACTATTGGATTGCTTCTTATCAGCTTCATCAATATCTCAGGTTCAATTTTTTCTTTTATTTCAGCTTTCTTTTCCTATGTAATGTCATATCACTAATTTATATACGTTTGTTTTATAAAATAAATGATCAACTCCTTAAAGATTAGAATTTTTTCTTTGCTAATTAGGTGCCTAAGGCTGCGCATTTTTCTTATTTTTTCAATCAAATAAATGATGATGGAAATAACTAATTAAGCTCAGAAATTTATGATTTCTTAAGAATTAATAATGTCTTCTCATTAGGAAAATTACACTTTTATAGTCAACAGATGCTATAATAAACGCCTTATTATCATTATTATTATTTTATTTACCTTCGAAGTTGTCATATTTCAGAAGTGGAATCTATTGGCGTGTCTTATGGTAGGGTCGGAAATAATCTCCCTCCGGCAAATGAAGTCATCGGGCTCTACCAAAATTTCGGAATAAATGGAATTCGACTATATGATACCAACCATGACGTCCTTCAAGCCCTCAGAGGCACCAACATAGCGGTCATCATTGACGTTCTTGAGCCCGATGTCACTGCTATCGCAAAAAGCGACCTTGCCGCTGCTGAATGGGTTCGAGACAACATTCTACCTTACTACCAAGATGTGAACTTTCGTTACATTGCTGTTGGCAACGAGCTCATTCCTGGCTCTCATCCATATGACATCTCACCTGCAATGAATAAACTGCAAGCTGCATTGCAGCAAGTTGGCCTCGACGGCAAGATAAAGATCTCAACATCAGTCTCTACCGGCGTGTTGGGCAATTCATGGCCCCCCTCCAAAAGCTTCTTCTCCCCCAGCATCACCTCGAATCTCCAACCCATTGTCAGCTTCCTTTCCCAGCATGGCTCCCCACTCCTGGTCAACGTTTATCCTTACTTTAGCGTGATTGAAAGCAAAGGAAAAATCACGCTTGACTACGCACTCTTCACTGCAAGTGATACAGTGTTCAGTGACAACGGGTTGGATTATCAGAACTTATTTGATGCGATAGTTGACGCGCTTTACACCTCGCTCGAGAACATGGAAGGCGGCAGGAGTGTCAATCTAGTGGTGTCGGAGACTGGTTGGCCGTCGGATGGCGGGGGTGTGGCCACGTGGCAGAATGCGCAGACTTACATCTCTCATCTGATAGATCATGTTAAGCAAGGGACACCCAAGAAGCCGGGTGAAATTGAAACCTATATATTTTCTTTATTTGACGAGAACCTTAAAAATCCACCGGGGACAGAGAATCATTATGGCCTCTTCACTCCAACCAAGCAACCCAAATATTCTCTCAAGATTAATTAAGGAAGAATGTGCCCCTTTTTTTAGTTGGTGAGCTTCAAGAAAATAATTTTTCAATGCGAGAGGAAACAATCAGTCATCGGGTCACCATCTCATCCGCAGTTGTTCGGCCATTTGCATGAATAAATTGACTCTTAAGTCTTCTAGCAACTTTTTTGATTGATTAATAGCCTGTTTTGAGAAATTAGTTTGGTTTCAAGATTTTGATGTTTTTTTCATTACAATCATTAATTTGTTTGGGTAGAACTTCAAAGATAAACATTTTTTTCTGAGGTATATATGCTTTTCAATACCATCAAGGAAATGATGTATCTAAATATTATAACATCCAAAAATATTTAAGAAATACAAACTCTTCAAAAAAAAATATTGGCAAAACAAATTAAATGATATAAAGTGGTATGATTTTTGTTCAATCGAGCATTTAAAGGATGCATAAGAACACGTGCATGCCCTCCTAAACTTGAATATATCTTATTGTTGAGAAATTACGGCGAAGAAAAAACAAGAACTACAAAACTCCAGAAGAACACAAATCGATTTAATGAGGTTCGGTAAAAATATCTACGTCCTTGGGAGCAGAACGACGGCTTTTCATTATTCAGAAAAGAGAATACAAAATTCAGAGATTCAGAGATAATCCCTAGGGTTACATACAAGTCTAATTTATAACTCTATAAAATACATAAAAAAGAAAACATTGGGTACAATATGTAAATACCAAATTACCCTTGTACCACACCCCCAACCCACATAAGGAAGCTCCCCTAATTTGGACAGAATCTTCCGCTTCTGCTCTGCTCCGCTCCTGATTTAGCACTGTCTATTTATGGTATATGAGTCATATCTAACAAATCTCCACCTTGGCGAATATTCAACGCCTTAGGAGAAATACGTCATGGAGTTCCTTTCATACTAGCAGTGAGTTGGGCCACCATGCTTCTCTAGTAAATGTAGACATTCAACAAGTCCAAGCAATGCAAGAACTTGTTGATAGTAACTAGTTTGTTCAACATATCAGTTCCATTCTCATCAGTATGAACCTTCTGCAACAGTATCTACCCAGAAGCAATTAATTCTCTGATCTCGTGATACCTGACATCAATGTGCTTGGTTCTCGCATGGTACACCTGATTCTTAGCCAGATAAATAACACTCTGACTGTCACAATGCAATTGAACTCCACCTTGCTCAACGCCCAGTTCCTTTACTAGCCCAGCAAGCCATAAAGCTTCTTTAGCAGCTTCAGCTACTGGCATGTACTCAACTTCAGTTGTAGATAATGCCACAATAGACTGAATTGTTGATTTCCAACATATAGGCCCTCCACCAAGAGTAAACACATACCTAGTTGAAGACCTTCTACTATCCAAATCACCAGCAAAGTCAGAATCAACGTACCCCACAATTGAAGGATCATTCTGGTGACTGCCAAAAATAATTTCATATCCTACAGTACCCTTCAGATACTTGAAAATCCACTTGACTGCTTCCCAATGTTAATGTCCAGGTTTAGCCATGTATTTGCAGACTTGACTAACAGCATGAGCCAAATCAGGACGAGTACATACCATAGCATACATCAAGCAGTGCATATATCAAGCAGTCATCAAGCAGTCAACTGCACTGACATATGGAACCTTTGTCATGTCTTCCATTTATGTATCTATCTTAGGACAATGTTCTAAAGAAAGCTTAAAATGATTTATCAAAGGAGTGCTTACAGGCTTTGCTTTGCTCATCTCAAACCTTTCCAGCACTTTCTCAACATAGTGTCGTTGAGATAAACATAATCATCTTGAGCCTCTGTCTCGATAAATCTCCATTCCAAGAATCTTCTTTGTAGGACCCAAGTATTTCATGTCAAATTCCTGGCTCAATAAAGTTTTCAAACCACGGACATCATTCATATTCTTTGCAACAATCAGTATATCATCAATATACAGTAACAGAAAAATAATAAAACCATCATCAAGGCTCTTCACATAAACACAACAATCATACTCACATCTCTTGTAGCCAATCTGAATCATGTAGGAGTCAAACCACTTGTACCATTGTCTTGGAGATTGTTTCTACACATACAGTGATTTCTTTAACCTATAAACCAGATGCTCTTGTCCAGGTTGAGTGAAATCTTTTGGCTGCTCCAAGTAAATCTGCACTTCCAGATCACCATGCAAGAAAGCAGTTTTAACATCCACCTGCTCCAAATACAAATCCCAAATAGTTACTAATGCAAGCACTGCTCTGATCGAAGTAAGTCTGACCATATGAGAAAAAATTTTATCATAATATTTCCCCTTCTGATGTGAAAATCCCTTTGCTATCAGTCAAGTCTTGAACTTTTCCCCTTCTTTTTCTGATACTGTTGGTTTCCATTTGTAAACTCATTTGCACCCAGTAGCCTTCTTTCCCTCTAGAAGCTGAACTTTCTTCCATGTGCGATTTTTCTGTAAAGACTCAATCTCCTCAACCATTGTACTCATCCATTTCTCTTTCTCCTGGCTAGTGATAGCTCCTTGAAAAGTGACTGGATCATCGCTGCTGATGAGAAGTGCACATGAGACTAAGTCTTCATAATCCAATCTGCTACGAGGTCTTACATTGGTGTGTCTCTGTCTATCTCTGGCTAGATTATAATTCTGCAGATCATCTGAAATAGAATCACCAGGTGTTGGATTTGAACTTTCACCTCTCTTAGAAGCTACTGGCTGTTGTTCTAAATCCATCTGCATTGCATCTGAACTGGAACCCTTCTCTGACACCTTGTCTTGATTTTGTTGTAACATAAACTGCTCATAAAAAAATTGCATCTCTGCTGATCACCATCTTCTTTGCAATCGAATCCCAAAACTTGTATCCTTTCACACCTTTCTTATAGCCCAATAAGATGCACTTCTTAGATTTTGTATGAAGTTTTGATCTTTCATCTCCAGGTACATGCACATAAGCAGGACATCCAAAAATCACATCCAAAAATCTCAGGACATCCAAAAATCTGTAAATGATCAAATTTAACTGAATTACCTATCCATACCTCTTCTGCGACCTTGCTACCAAATGATGCTTGAGGTGATCTATTGATGAGAGCCTCTGCCCAAAAACTCTTAGGAATCTCTGCATTCAGTCTCAAGCACCTTGCCCTTTCAGTTAATGACATGTTCATCTTTTTTGCCACACGATTCTGCTATGGTGTCTTGCACACTGAAAAATGTCTCTGAATCCCATGCTCCTCACAGAACTTCTGAAACTGCAAATTGAAACTGCACTCACAGAACTTCTGAAACTGCAAATTTGTGTACTTTGTGTCATTATCGGACCTCAAATACTTGATCTTTCAGTCAGTTTGGTTCTCCACCTCAGCTTTCCATAACTTGAATTTAGAGAAAACTTCATATTTCTGCTTCAAGAAATACACCCAAACTTTCCCGGAGAAATCATCAATAAAGGTAACGAAATACTGAGATTCTCTCAATGACAACTCTGTAGTAGGGCCCCATACATCAGAATGTACATAATTCAGAATGTATCAGAATGTACATAATCAAGAATCCCTTCAGTTTTATGTTTTCCAGTCATAAAACTGACTCTAGTCTGTTTTCCAAGAACACATAACTTACAAAGATCAAGCTTGCAACTTCTAACACCATACGACATGTTTCTTCTATGCAATTATGTCATCCCACGTTCACTAAGATGACTCAGACGCATATGTCATAGTTTTGTACTATCTTCATCTAACTCTACATAATAAACTCCACCTACAACTGTACTCCCCAACAGTTTATAGATATTGCCTGCAGCTAACTTTCCTTTCATCACCATCAGCTCACCCTTAATAATTCTGATGATTTCCCTATCCTCAACAACCTTAGGAATAAAACAATTTCTGTGAAAAGTGCCCAAGAAATCAAGTTCTTCTTCAGATCTGGAATATGTCTGACATCACATAACATTCTAACTGTGTCATCATATATTTGAATTCTGACTTCTCCAATGCCGACAATATTGCAACATCTATCATCACACAAATAGACTGAGCCAGAATTAGACAACATTGCAATATTGCAGTTTTAACACAATATTGCAATTCTTCACAATCTACATCCTCCATGGCATCTGGTTTCGTTGCCCGCAAAGCTTTCAAGATTCTTTGTTGCGCCAACAGATCTTTCACCCTTGTTCGCCACAACCCGAAGTTACCAGTCCCATCAAACTTCACCACCTTGAATTTTGCACCAGAAATTGTCATTTGAAAATTGATCCTGCAACGAATGTTTTCTTGAAAAAATCCTTCAAGATCTTTCCCATGTTCCCTGCCTTTTCCACGTCTTTCAAGAAAATATGAAAAATATATCTTCCAAAGTTTTCTTCTCTGCAGCCTCCAACAAAGAAAAAACTTCATTAAAATTCCTTAATTAAATATTTTCTTTAAATCAATTTAATTAACGAAAACTTTCCTTTAATTAAGTCAAATTTAAAAAACTTCCCTTTCTGCAGCAAGAGAAAATTTCAATTCCGGCTTCCTTATTCCTCTCGCCCAGTAAAATTCCCTTTCCTGCGTGCTGCCTTCGTCGAAGCCTTGGTCAAGCACGTCGCCCTGCTGTTCCGCCTTTGAACCCGCGATCCTCTGCTCCTTTCCTCTTCAGCTCTAGTGATTTAGGCGAATAGGGGAGGCGGGGTCCGTGATCTGCCACAGTCTTGATTCCAACCTTCGCGAAGTCGAACCATGTAGCAAGACAAGAAAGCCGCAGACCGTCGAATCCTTCACCGCAGACCTTTCTACCGTCCGAAGCTTGCGAACTTCAGAAGATTCCTCCAGAACCAATCGCTGAAGAACCAAAAGCGCACCTTCAAACAATCCTAGCCGCCGAATCCTCGGCCAAAAAACTTCGCCACCAAAATTTTTTCTTTGCCCTAGAACTTGGCTCTAATACCACTTGTTGAGAAATTAGGGCAAAGAAAAAGCAAGAACAACACAAATCCAGAAGAACACAAAGAGATTTAACGAGGTTCGACAAAGAAGCATACGTTCTCGGGAGCAGAGCGACAGCTTTTCACTATTCATAAAAGAGAATACAGAATTCAGGGATTCAGAGATAATCCATAGGGTTGCATACAAGCCTAATTTATAACCCTAGAAAGTACATAAAAAAGGAAACCTTGGGTACAATAAGTAAATATCAAATTACTCATGTACCACACCCCAACCCACATAAGGAAACTCCCCTGATTTGGACAAAATCTTCCACTCTACTCCGCTCCTGATTTAGCATTGTCCATTTATGGTATATGAGTCATATCTAACACTTATATGTATAATAGGTACTACTTAAGAACCTCTATTATTTAAGTTTTAGTTAAAAAATTAATTTGTGCTCGATAAAATAAATAAAATAATTTGTTTCGATTTAAGAAAATATTGACTCATAATATTATCTCGTGAGACAAAATGGAATTCCTCCCCTATTTCTTTTTATTAATAAAAATATTAGATTGTGGGTTATATATATGGGAGAATGGAATTTTCCCGGTATTTTTGTCTGTGTGGATGGGGGTACCTAGGCTGTACTCGGGAGGTACACCCCTAATTTAGATGTATGGATAAACACCTAATATCATCTCTTATAAGAGGGCATGTTGTTGTTGTGTTAGAGGGAAATAGAGTGAAAATGAGATAGATATATGAAAAAATCACATATGAAAATTTTGCTCTTTTTTCACTTTTATTTTCTTTGAGACTTTCATTTTTTCTTTTTAGTTTTGCTTGCGTCTGACCTAAAAAATCTCCACAACTGATCATCGCCTCATTAATTTCAATTAATATATAAATTATTGATGCGTGTCAGATGGTCTGTGGAGGTAGAGTAATGAATTAACATGTTAGCTTTTAACAGAAACCAAACACACACTCAGATAATTAAAGAAAAGTAAAGAAGAAGAAACACATCATTTTTTATGTGGAAAACTATAGAAAAAGAGATAAAATCATGAGTTCTAGCCTAATTACTTTTACAGGTTGTTGTTTTATGAATCATTCTCTAAAGGTTTGTTAGGTAAATTTGTAGATTATTCTATTTTAATTTTTTCCTTGCTTTTTAATCCTTATATATGCTTATTTGATAATGAGAAATTTTATGCTTAAATTTTTAAAGTGAATTTATTAATAATAAAATTAGAGTTAAATGCTTAAGTCAATATATTAAAAAATTAAAATTGTGTTAATTAATTAAGATAATATATTTGATAATTTGTCATGTTACGTGCAGCACCTACAATATAATCAAGTGAAGTTGATTAGAAGAACAAGTCTAGCAGATATGTTGAGTTTCAAATTGAGACATGTTATTTAATACTATGTCTTAATTATTATAAGATAATCATGATGATGTTACTTTCTTATTATAACAACAATAACCTCCGTAATAATCTACTACAAAGAAGAAAAGGAGAGAAATGAAGCTACCACAAGGTATGATGAGATTTATTTAGTTGCTTTATCTCTTAGTTATAGTCAAAGACATTGCATGTGCTCCTAGTTATAGTCAAAGGCATTGCATGTGGTAAAAAATTTTCTAGCTATAGAGTGACAATTGATTCATTTTATTTAGGTAAGTGGATGATTTATTATTATACAAAAAGAGCTGAAAATCCTACACAAGAATAAAACATATGATTTAGTGAAGTTTCCTCAAAGGAAAGAAGTTATTCACTACATATGGGTATTCAAGGGAAAAGAAGCCATAATATGAGTTGATAATGCTTGATACAATGCTAAACTAATTAGAAATTGAATTAGTAAGATTTCAAGAGTACACAAAAAATATATATGTATTCTCTTTCAAGTGATTTATCATTATTCAGTTCAATCTTTACTTCATATTGTAGTTCATCATGACCTCAAACCTGTATAGTTAAATAAAAATAATGTTTTTATTATTATTATTTGAAGAACTTGAGGAGAAAATCTACATGCATCAACTCGGGGTCTTTATGATAATAGAAAAAAAATACTATATTTATATGTCGAAGTCTCTTTACGGTTCAAAGTCTCCTAAATCATGGCATAAGAAATTTGACTTAATTATAATCATTCATGAGCTTAAGATGCGTAGCTATAAATTTTTTTCTAGTTTAACAGGAATTACAATTAGTCCTTTACCTACTTGCTCTTATATATTGATGATTTTTTTATATGTAATTAGAATTATAAGTGACAAACCAATAAGTGGAAAGCTCAATTAAGTGATGACTTGAGATGAAAGATTTAAGAGCTTCAAACAATATCTTTAGCGTGGAGATTCATAGAGATAGAAAGTTTGGTAAATTATTTCTTAATTAAAAAAAATATATTAAGAAAGTTCAAAACGTGTTTAATGTACAAGATGCCAAGCCTATTTACTCCATTAGTTGCTTATATTTTATGCATCCAACAGCTTTGTATCCACAATCATATGGTGAAACACTGAGACTTAATATATCTCAAATACTATATTCTAGGCCACTAAAATTTCTCATATTTGTTATAATATTATCTTATTCAAACTTATAATATACAGTTAGTGGATTCAACATACATATAAGCTAATCCTCAATACATTTATAAAATCAAAGATATTTGTTTACAGTTTAAGAGGGATGACTGCATATAGAATAATCAGAATTATATGGATTCCGACATTATTGAAGACCATAAAAGGATAAAATCACTTTTATTATACTCTTTAATTTTGAAGATTTATGTCAATGTGGAGATTGTCAAAATTGTAAGTTGAATTTATTATTATTCTGTTATATTGCTTTCCTTCTTTATTCCCACTGATAGTTGTTGAAGACAACTTATACGGAATGGTGTTACACTCTACCAAATCAGTGTGCCATGAATGAGATCATATCTATTGAATATCACTTTCAGAAAACCTTACAAATATACCTAAAAACTATTTGTCATATACGATGAATGCCCTATTCCTCGTAGGAATTTTATCATACCGCATAAATGCGCATTCAAGCCCTCCTAAAACTTAAATTGACATTTAATCCGAAAATTCTGCAATATTAGTCTTCCCTGTCGCTCTATATATAAACAGAGACATTACTTTCGTAACGTACGTTGAATGGTAGAAAAAATCATGGCAAACCGTAGTTTCATCTCTATTGTGACAATTGGATTGCTTCTCAGCTTTATCGTTTCAGGTTTGAATTATTCGCTTATTTCACCTATTGTTCCCTATCTGATGAAATTGTTAGACAAAATTTAATCATATTCTCATTATTTTTTAGGGACATTTACATACATACCACCAAATTTTCATGTACTTTTTACATTTATAAGACCCAAATCTTTCATATGACATCAAAATACCCATATTTATGTAAACCTTGTTGGAATGGAAAAGCTTTTAGGAAATGACAAAGGCTAAAAAACAACTTATGGAAGAAGCTTCACTCTTATTTAACACCTTAACTTGGCTTGATACAAACTCAAAGACTCCACCCCTATTTATACTAGTGGCACCTCCTAAATTAATGGCTAAGATTGTGCCACCACAATTACAATCCAATGGTTACAAATAATTCCACACCTACCACACAATAATTCAACACCTACCACACCTACCACACCTACTACACAATAATTTCATACCTACCACATGTTCTAGAATAAGCTTATAGAAATTAAGCTTTATTTAAACAACTAAAACAAGTTTATATTTCAACACCCCCTCTTAAACTTGATTTTGTGACTCCAAGCAAACTTCTCATTTTAATAAAGTCTTCACTCTTCAGTGGCTTGGTAAAAATATCTGCAACTTGGTCTTGAGACTTCACGTACTGCACTTGTACCTCCTTTCTTTCGATGCATTCTCTGATGTAGTGATAACGCATATCAATGTGCTTGCTTCTATCGTGGAAAACAGGATTCTTTGCTAGCGCGATTGCAGACTTGTTATCAATACAAATCTTAATCGTCTCTTCTTGTGGTAAACTTATCTCTTTTAATAAGTTTCGAAGCCAAATTGCGTGACAAACACATGAGGTTGCAGCCACGTACTCTGCTTCGCAAGTAGAAAGAGTGACAATTGGTTGTTTCTTTGACATCCAAGTGAAAGC